TTCGTAAGTGAAGGGCCTCCTAAATGTATGCCATACCTACAATTAGACAAGCAACTCCATGTAAGAATAGTACCAAAAGAATGGAGATAGCTATTTAGAAAGTTAGTTCACCAAAGACAACAAACTGGGAGACAGAAATAACAGAACAGGAATATTTTTCAGTATTTTGAATAATTACGAAAACCTCGTAATTTTTTTAAAATTTCAAAATATCAAGCGGTACAAGTGTTTTCTTTGTTTGTTTTTGTTACATGGATAGTTTTTACGATGTTTAAGTCAGGGATGTTAGTGTGCTCATTACCTGAACATGGTTCATTGTACCTGACAGGAAGGTTTTTACCTGTCCCCCCCCCCCGTTACTTAATTTCTAATGTCTTTTACTTCTCTTGGGAATATATTCAAACCAAAAATACAAAATGGTTTGGAGTATACTCTTTAGATTTTTTCCTCCTAGATAGACAGGAAGTATATGTATGTATCTAATTTGGTTTTATAAAAATGAGATTTCGCCATGCATAAACCACTATGCACTGCTCTTGGACTGCACAATATATCAAAGAAATCTTTCTCTATCAGCACATACCCATTTTGCCATTTTGGTGTCCTGCTATTCATAAAAAACTACATAAAAATAATAATTTTGGTGAAAAATTTTATTTATAATGAATACTGAGTAAAAAATAAAAGCATTAAATTTCTACATAGCAAATATTTAATTAGCATGATTGAATTAAGACCAAGACTATCTTTAAAACAGCAGTATCTAAAAAACCTGCACGTATCTAGCATTTGCAGCAAAACAATTACTGGAAAATTAACTGAATTGGTGTATCAACAGATACGCTGGACAGTTACTGACAATTATTACTGAAGAATAAAAATAGAAAAAATGATCTAGATAGTCCCAAATCAGCAACAAAAAAATGGAAATGGATCATAGCATTTTCGTCCTTCGGCATAATTACAAGCCAATAAAACATGAGAACTGCAAACAGCAGAATCATGAGTTGAAAAACTGTTATTTCACAATTTTCAGACCACTCACCAGGCAGCTGTGAGAGCAGAAAGAAACGAACCAAGTAACAAAAAAGGGTGCCTGTAGACAAGCAGAACCTGAACTTCACAGATGGATACAAAGAAATGTCAGCCTTTCAGAGCCCTGAACAATGGGGGGTAGTTTACAAGCAAATAAAGTTTAGTAAGTCCATAATAATGAAAGAACCTGAGAAATGTGATAAGTAATCGCTAAATCCTTTTACCTACTACCTATGGCAGTTAGATTGAGTCTGACTCTTTAGTCTAACTCTCCACAATCTCCCTGTCTAACCTTTTATATTCTACCACTCTAAAGCAGTCTGCATTTGTCATCTGCCTTCTTTAAAATTTCCAGTCACTATTTCCTATAAATAAAAAACATACATAGTGCAGTGCCTGTGGCTCAGTGGGTAGGGCACTAGCCCCATATATCGAGGGTGGCAGGTTCCATCCCAGCCCCATGTAAACTGCAACAAAAAAAAAGCTGGGTGTTGTGGTAGGTGCCTGTAGTCCCAGCAACTCAGGAGGCTGAGGCAAGAGAATTGCCTAAGCCCAGGAGCTGGAGGTTTCTGTGAGCTATGACACCACAGCACTCTACCGAGTGCAACAAAGTGAGACTCTGTCTCTAAAAAAAAGAAAAAAAACATACATAGTCTCTCTCGTTGACTGTTACACTGCTGAAGCTAATAGTATGTGCTTCAGCAGTTCAATTAACATTTCAATAAGGAGTGAACGAATCTGGCTCCAACTACTTTCCTGCCTTTGCTGGCAACTCACCTCTATGCATTAGTACATGCAGGGTTAGAATACATTACAGTTTCCTTGCTAAGACAAAGTCTGAATACCTGTAGAGCTTCCCAATTCCCACTCCTTTCCCCCCTACCTCCTACCAGTTCAGCTTAGGAATCTCTTCAATTTTTGCTGCATGTGCCATGCATTCAAGTGTCTTCACATTTACTGTTTCTTCTGCCAAAAAATGTCCTTTCATAATACAGTCACACATTTAGTTCCCATACTCCTCCTGGGTCTTCACCCAAAAGTCGATTAGTGGGAGGAGGTATAAAACCAGATGATCAGCAGGTACAAAAATATAGTTAGATAGAATGAACAATATTTGATAAAACAACAAAGTGCAAAAATAACTAAACAAATGAAATTAGAATGTTCATAACACACCTCCCCCAAAATGGTAAAATAACCCAAGGTGATGGATACTCCAATTATCCTGATTTGATTAATTCATACTATTATGCCTATATCAAAACATCATTATATACCTGATAAAGATATACAGCTACTGTGCACCCAGAATGATTAAAAAGAAAAAAAGTAAATCAATGAGGTGTTCCCAAGCCACTGTATCCAAGGTTTCATCGTTCCAACCATGACAATCTATATCCTCCCCTTACCTGCTTTATTTTTCTCCGTAGAAATTATCAGTCTCTTACTCTCTGTTTTCAATTAAGAGATTTGCTTTGTTCACTGCTGAATCCCTAGCACTTCTAGAGCAGTGCCTTGCAACCAGTTGGTACACAATAAATACCTATCAAAACTCTGTGAGGTGCCCAGGACATTTTTAAAGATAGGTGAAGTGATTTATCCACATCTCTACTACTACTTCTCCCCCAAATACTCTCCTATACCCTATAAAAATCCAAATCCCAGCTCAGCACCTGTAGCTCAGTGGCTAGGGACCAGCCACATACACTGGAGCTGGTGGGTTCAAATCCAGCCTAGGCCTGCCAAACAACGATAACTACAACCAAAAAACAGCCACGTGTTGTGGTGGACACCTGTAGTCCCAACTACTTGGGAGCCTGAGGCAAGAGAATCGCTTAAGCCCAAGAGTTTGAGGTTGCTGTGAGCTGTGAAGCCACAGCACTCTATGGAGGGCAACATAGACTCAAAAAAAAAAAAAAGTTCAAATCCCTCCATATCAATTTCCAATAATACTCATAATTGTTTTTATGGAGACCTCCAACTTCCTTTTTTTTTTTAATAGGGCAAGAACAATTTCTGAAGCAATCTTACTGTAGTCACACAAGTGGTAAATAAAAGGATAGTAAATGTGCGTAGAAAGAAATTGCTACATTTTCACTTGAGTTTCATGGGCCAGTATCACTACAAAAAAAACACGTGTAATTAGGTTTAGAAAAATCATTACTTGAATGAGAACATTTTCCTAGCCATTCTTTAAAAAAAAAAAAAACTCATAAATCACACACATCTGCAAAGTGAAGATGCTAAAACATGTGCTGCATGAAGACAAATTTAAAAATAACCTAAAAATCAGAGGCCAAATAAAAGCTTTTCTCAGGTTTACATAATTGAAATCTAGGTTCAAAACTGTGCCTTTCAAAAACAAAAGTCTTGTGTCCACTACTCTTTTGGCTTTTATGAATCTTATTTGCTAAGTTAACCTGCATAGCATTTTGATCTTGTGTTTATTGGTAAGGGCCAAAAAAACCTCAGAATTAAGAGTACTGCTTCTTTGTCTTCCCTATCATAGAATAAGAAACATGTAAAGAATTAGGCCCATAAATAACAACTTGATTAACATAAAAAATTCAAAATAGTTTAAATAAAATTATCTGTAAAATGCAGCCTGAGTCCATATCCAATTTCCATCAACAGAGATCTATTAACATAAAACATTATGTGCCTAAAGCATCACTAATATAAAAATCTAGGTTTTGAACACAATCGTAAACACTAAAATAAAAACATCACAGGCACCTTATGCAGAAAATAAATTCATCAATTCTATATTTTGTTATTACATTAACAAAAATATTTTCACACCCCTAGGAACGGTCAGCTTATAGATCCAATGATCCATAAAATAAAATATGCCACTTCGATCAGTAGTCCTCTTTTTTTCATGGTAATATCCGGGTCAGAAGTGGAAGAATGTCCTTTTTATGTTCTATTGAACTATAATAACATCCTTGTTTAAACATAAATTTATGTCTATTTAATTACAAGTCTCCCAAATTGGTAACTTAAAAAACCTTCGGATAAATCATACAAGCTCCACCAACACACATAATTATACAATGAAATAGTTAGCAAATAGGCACATTTTTGTACCTTGAAGAGTACATTCCCACCTAGCTGTATGCTTTGGAGTAAAATGACTCTTTACCAACAGTGACCACATTAGTGTTCCTTAGCACCCAGACACATACCACTTTATGGTAGGACCACACTTGAAATAGTTAACGATGGATACAACTAGATTAAGAGACCATAAACAATAAACACTGCCCATCTACGAGGCAGGTAAAGAAACTATAGAGACAGTCCATTCAGAAGCTGCCATTTCTCCCGTTAATGTATTTTTTGTTTTTGCTAAGCTGTGAAATCCGCTTGCACACCCATCTAAAAACTATCAGTGGGGCGGGCGGAGGCTGAGTCATTCCTAGGAGTAACTTTATACCGATCCTCGCACTCTGGGGTCGGGACAAAGATATCACCTCGCTGTTCCTCCCGGTCTGTGCGTTTCGTTCGGCCTCTGCCCAACACCAGTCCATTAGCAGTGAGCCTTGGCAGCGGTAACTACGAGTTAAGGATGCGTCCCGGTGGGTCTGAGCGTCTCACCCTCAGCCGCTCCCGCGACTCGGCCGGGTGCTGCCCCGAGGCGCGCACACGGAGGGCTCTCGGGGTGGCTGCCGAGGGGGCCGCACGCAGCCCCTCACCGAGGGAGCCCGACCGCACACCTCCCGCAGCACGGGGAGGCACCGACTCCAACCGCTTTTGTGTCCAGGGGCCGTCGTACCAGGAAAGCAGCTACAGGCCAACACCTGGCGGGGCCGGAGGAGCCGGGGGTCGCAGGCGCACACACCTGCGCGCGGGCCGGGGTCGGGCGGCCGAGACCCCGTGCCCCCGGCCCACTGTGCCGAGGCCGGCCGTGCGGCAACTGTGCCCAGATGGGGGAAGGGGACGCGGGCGGCGGCAGCACTTACCCGGCAGCGCCTCCTCCTTCGCCGGCGGCAGCAGAACAGCCAACGACCCCCGACACCATCTTCCGCCGCCGCCTAGTCCTCGGCGGCGGCTACCAACCGCCCATTCGGCACCGCCAACCGACTCAACCGCCGGCGTCCGGGGCGCCTATCCGCCCGCAGCGGCCCCGAACTCCAGCCGGGAGGGAGGGGTCGGGGCAGAGATGGACGCTATCAGGCCCCTCGGCTCTGGGTCTGGGGCCGGGGGACAAGGGGCCGCGGCCAGTCAGAGCCGAGGGGCCCTGTCAACTGAGGGACCCCGAGGCAGCACCGAGGGCTCAGCAGGGCCGCGGACACCGCCGCGACTGGGTTTGTTATTGTCGACTCCGTCTCTTCCTCCGCGGAGCATGCCGGGAAACGGCTGGCCGGGGGGAGGGGCGCGCCTAAAAAAGTCGTCTGCGCAGGTCCGGAAGTCAGCGGGCTGATGGGAAGTGGGCGGCTCCGCCTCCCGATGCTTTCGTCCGGTAGGGCAAGTTGCCTGTCCTGTTCTGAGCCTGGGAGATTTTTCTGGGCGGCCTGTTGTGGTGCTAGCCGCCGTCCCGGCGCGGACTTTCCCAAGGTGAGCCTGACCTTCCTTGCTACAGCGAGTAGGCCCGGGAGAAGGCCCACCGCTAAATTTTGGATCATCCCCACAGGATAGAAAGCTCGTCCCCTTCAAGCCTGTCTCGAAGGAGTGGGGCCGGCAGAGGGTCTGGTGTCCTCGTAGCCTGTCCTGGGCCAGCCCACGGACGGGGCGAATATCTATGACAGGATAACGTACCGAGAAGACTGCGGGTTGGTGCAGCCCTGCCACAAGCACCCCACATACCCCGACCGCCGGGCCTGCTGGCATCTGGCCAGTGTCTTCTGGTATCTTAGGGCGAGGCGACATAATTTTTTTCAGACTAGGTAACATCCTAGAGAGAAGAGAGTAAGGCTAGACAAATTCGGATGAAAAGTAAACTGGACGACGACATTCTCAGCCTTATAAATATTGAACTATTATAGTGACCTAACTAGTGGTTTTGCGGTTAACTAACGTGAGCGTTCTACAGGATGAGACAGTTTCAGGGGAATCTTGCATTTCTGAAAATGGTCAGTCACAAGCAAAAACTTGAAGACTTGAAGCCACAGGCTTGAGTATTAAAATCTGATAAACAGATGTTACATGTATTATAACTACACACTACTTTTCAGATTTCTGTAATATGCACGAGTAAAAGCTTAGAATGCTAGCTACCTCTTAAGTCGTCAGAACTTTTGTGTTTGCAAAAATAAGTAGCAGAAGAGGACCCTATATTAAACCGTTTACGTCGTTCATTTGTTATGTGAAGACTGGGAAACACTGACTCGTAAGCAAGAGCAATTTTACGTTTCCATCCCTTTGACTTGAGATCTGAAAGTTATGATTGAGAGTGGCTTTGTTTTTTTTGTTTGTTTGTTTTTTTCATCTTGCACTGCTGCATATCCCAGAGAAATCTTTATGATCTTGGGCAAGCCGTTTTCTTGTTCAGTTTTTAAGTTGGAATTTTATTACGCCATTCCAGCAAAGTAGATCAGAGAAGTGAAAATTAAGCACTGAGTTCTATGCTGTAGGGCAGCGGTTCTCAGCCTGTGGGTCGCAACCCACAGGAACTGGATTAAAGGGCCGCGGCATTAGGAAGGTTGAGAACCACTGCTGTAGAGAAAGGTGTGAACTGGCTAGACTGAAGAAAAGAATTGATTTTACTGGGCACACTGAAAGAGTGGTGAGGAGTAATTGGCTAAAAAATTGTATAAGAAAAACACAATGAGGCCTCTAAAGAATATAAGTGCTTGTACTTCCTAATTATCATGACATTTATCATTACAAATAAAATCCAACTTGGAATGTAAAAATCTTTGGAATATGCCAGTAGTAATCTACTAAATAATGAAATGTTTCTCTCAGATTTCTTTCTTTGGAAAACTGATTTAATACTGACCTTCTGTCTTAATCATAGGCTGCAATAAATCACCAGAAATGACTGGTTGATAACTGGTTCATTAGGTTTACAACTCTAATGTAAATGTTAAGAGTTTGTGTGCATCTTTAATTCTTTCCCAGGGCTAAATGAAAATGCATTAACATTAATTTTATTATATGTATATGCAAGTATCTAGAGGAAGTACTATTAAAATTGCTAATAGTGCTCTCTTCAGCAGCACATATACTAAAATTGGAACCATACAGAGAAGATTAAAGTTACTAATACATGTATACATAGTAATAAGTCATAACAAGTTATTTCCTTTATATCAAGCCTATTTAACATCCTCCACTCTTCCTTCCTTCATAAATAAAAACAAGAACAAACAAAATCCTGGAACATCACTTTCTTATAAATCCCCAATCCGTAGGCTACTGCACTTTTCTCACTGAAAACTGCAAGCAGATTAACAGGGACCTCCAAATCATCACATTAAATAAACAGTGCTGAGACTTTTATTTGAACTTTGTAAAGCATTTGCTATTTTAAAACTACCTAGTCTTTAAATCTCTCCTTCACTGTGCTGACTTTCTTTTGGCACTCCGAAGTCTCTGTCCTTTTATAGTCTTCTACATTTAAGGAATTATAGTACTGTGTGAATGATGTAAAGATAAGGTGCTATGAGAGATTAGAAAAGTCTTAATCCTAGCCCCAGCACATTTATTACAATTTAATCGCCATTTTAGGTGCTTTGATTTACAACGGGGGAGGAATTCCTTAGGAATATGGAGGGTTTAAATAGTCTGTAACAAAACACTGTTAAGTACTTCAAATCAGTTCATATAGATGTGTATTTTTTTAGACAGAGTGTCACTATGTCGCCCTTGGTAGAGTGCTGTGGCATTACAGCTCACAGCAACCTCAAACTCTTGGGCTTAAGCTATTCTTTTTCCTCAGCCTCCCAAGTAACTGGGACTACAGGTGCCCACATGCCCAGCTTTTTTTGTTGTTGCAGTTGCCATTGTTGTTTAGCTGACCAGGACAGTATTCGAATCCCACAGCTGGGTATATGTGGCTGGTGTCCTACCCACTGAGCACAGGCGCCGCCCAGTTCCTATCTTTCAAATCCTATTTTTCCTTCAGTTCTCAACTTTAGTGTCACTTTCTCAGGAGAGTGACATGCCTATAATTTCCTTGGATTCTCACATTGTATCTTTCAATGTGTAACCTGACTATAGGTTCTCCTTTAAAAGATGAACTGTTCCCTAGTACTTGGTGTACACTCTTGTGCCCCCAAACTTGTTCAGACCCTTAATTTATACTTGGACTAACCTACTAGTCTTCCTTATTTACTCCAAGACTAGTCTAATCATGTCTTTTCCCTTACAGCCTTCATTAGTTGTGTTTTGTATACTAGATAAATAAAAACTGAGCAGTTTGGCTTGGCACCTATAACACAATGGTGATGGTGCCAGCCACATGCATCAAGGGTGATGGGTTTGAACCAGCCTGGGCCAGCTAAACAACAATGACAACTACAAAAAAAAAATAGTTGGGTGTTGTGGTGGGCACCTGTAGTCCCAGCTACTTGGGAGGCTGAGGCAAGAAAATCGCTTAAGCCCAAGAGTTTGAGGTTGCTGTGAGCTGTGATGCCACAGCTCTCTTACCAAGGGTGACATAGTGAGACTCTCAAAAAAAAAACAAAAACAAAACTCAGCAGTTTAAACCTCCTAATGATTAAATCCCAACCTATGTCTCAGATCTCCTAGCACTCTTCCTCTTTATACTTGTCGTATGAGTTTCTTCATCCAGGACTGCTCTTCTCACTTGTTTACATTTTGAAATAATCCTGAAGTTTAAAGTTATCCTTTAAAATACAGCTTGGACATCAGTTTCATCTTCTAGACGGTCTGGTAACTACTCGCCCTTCTATTTAATCTGCTGTATAACACAGCTATGTCTATCTCCCTGTTCAGTCTATGAAACACGATTAGGAACTATACGTTATGAATTTTTAAATTCCTAGAACGTTATGGAAGGTTTGGGACAGTCAGAAATTAATATTTACTGAATATAAGTTCTGCAAATATTTACATTGAGGGTCAGCTAGAGAAAGCCACTGGAAAATTCCTGCTCTCAAATATCAAAGGCTAGCACAGTTGGCCATTCATAATTACATGGCATTAATCCTTTACCAAAATACATTCTGGGTATTGGGAAGATCATGGTATACATCTTAATATTGTCAAATCTGCCACATTGGGATTTCATTCAGCACATGGATTAGGTATTTCTCAAACAACTAGTGTCATTACCATAATTTTCTTTTAGGTGAACTACAAGCACCTAGAAACCTTGATTCATGAAATATGGTTTTATTCAACGTATGACTCACTTTTGTCCATTTTTAAAGGGGTTAAAAAAATCTTCTGTTTTGGACTCTGTTTTGAAGATGATAAGTAATTTGGTGTATTTAATAAGGTCATGCACTATTTAGAGGCTGCTGCACTGTGATTATTAAGTTAATGTTTTCAGTGGTATTTACAGACCTTAAAGCTGCCATACCCCATTTGTTGGTACTCACATGTGTTATTAATTATAATGATGACACTTAGCTTATGAATGACTCTCTTCAAAGCTACTGATGAGCTTGATGAGCTCATGAGCAACACTAAGGCTGCAACAATGCATTCAAGAAAATACTTCAGACATGCTTAGTTTCCCCAAATATTTAAACCAATAGATTGAGACAAAACATTTGTAGTCATTTTTCACATTACAATATAGATGACATCTCTTTAGCATCACATTTTATTATGTTCTTGTCTTTCATTATTTTGAAGAGCTACTTAGCAAGATGTCCAAAAGTAGAGCGACAGTATTTCTGGCATGTCTTAAAGCAGAAATTAGTCATAAAGACACAGATATAGTATTGATTCAAGTATCAAGTGGTGGTTGGACTATAGGTTGGGGCTTTCTAACTTCTTGGGTTAAGAAATAGAAGTTAACGTTGTGCTTGGGTTATATACATACAAGAAAAAAATATTTGCTGCTTGTGATACTCTCTCACATTTTCTATTTTTCCCCCATGCTAACCTTCAACCATTGAATTGGTTGTACCACCATCTAATGGTTTGAAAGACATTAGATTCAATGACTTAGGCCCCAGACATTGACATTCTTTGTTCCTGATTTTTCTACAAGTTGGTGACTTGTGTTTATTTTTAAAAATAACTGAAGCTCAGGAATTACTTAGATACTAGGTGTAGGTTTTACATTTATCAACCTGTTTAGTTGTTTTAACAGCCCTATTTCTATGAATTTTCTCCAGTTTTACAGATGGAAAATGAGGCATGGAGAGGTTGTTGCTAATTCAGTGTACTTCCTTACAGTAATTGGTGTTCATCTAATAACTTAGGGCCAAGATTTGA